CTAAAAGAAGAAGAAGAAGAAGAAGAAGAAGAAGAAGAAGGAGGAGGCGGAGGAGGAGGAGAGAATGAGGTGGAGGAGAGAAATATCCGGAAGAATAAGAAATGAGAAAAAGAAGAAAAAGAAGGGAAGCAGGAAGAGAGGGGAAAGAAGAAGAATAAGAAGAAGAAGGAGGAAGAGGAGGAGGATGAGAGGATGAGGTGGAGGAGAGAAATATCCGGAAGAATAAGAAATGAGAAAAAGAAGGGAAGCAGGAAGAGAGGGGAAAGAAGAAGAAGAAGAATGAGGAGGAGAATAAGTAGAGGAGTAGATAGAAAAAGAAGCGGAGAGGAGGAAGTAGAAGGAGACAAGGAAGAAGAAGAAGAAAATGAGTTTGATGTAGGAAATGATGAGGACAAATAAACCGAATAATAATAATAATAATAATAATATGTTCAGCCATTGTAAGAATAATGTTTTGATGTGCAGCCTGGGTAAGAAAGCTGCTTGATGCTTTGAACTCATTGCCCTTGGCTGCACATAGTTGGCCCAAAAAGCGTACGCCTGACGCCATTAGAAAGTAGTCCTCAGAATAGATTGAGAACTATGCAATAATTGATAACTCGAGTTGGCAAGAATCCGTTCAAGAACATTCACCACCGTTACCTTACTCATTGAGGTTGAATAATTGAAGTTCATATGGTATCCGACAATTTTGATTGACAAGCGATTGGAGAGCAATCATCCTCATATGCCATTTGGGAACAAAAGCAGCAATGAATGAATCCTCGTAGACGAGGTGGTATCATGGGATAAGACTACTTCAACTCGATACTTCTAAAGTATCTACTAAGTATTTGTTTTGTTCACTCTCATCAATTGGAGTAGATGGCTTCACTTATCGTCCGGTTCATCCATCTCCCCGTTTTTTTTTTTAAAACAGGAAGAGATAATCCCAATTTCGGATCAGGTTTCCGGTTCAGTCTAATAGTTTTCATTCTCTTTAACTCCCACTAGCCATTGACTCTTAGTGGCATTATAGCCTTGCTTGCGGGGGAGAATCGATCAAAACGAAAATATTCAAGTTGTCTGTTTTATGGTTGACCATTCGAGGCTATTTCTATCTTGCAAGATACGGTTTTTTTCTGCATGAAACTCTGAGTCGTGCTACCGATGAGAAAAAAAGTTTTTGGTTCTAATATCTATCTATCTATTCCATTCAATACGACAGACAAGGTATTTGATTTAAGGATCTAATTTTTTTTTTTCAGATGATAAATTATATAAAAACTGTCCGAATGATCTTTTTTTATACAAAGCGCTTTTGGCTATGTATTTTTATTGAGACACGCTAGTGATTTAGAAAGGAAGCCGCATATGGTGCAAGACTGAGGATTGTGGTATGAAATCCCTGTTAGATTGGCTGACCTTTTAGATATTGCTCTCGCTTCTTGAAGACGATTCAGACAAGCAGATTGAAAACTGTTCGAGACCACTAAAACACCCTGATCTCCATTCTACCCACTGCAAGGTGAAGTGTTATATATATATGTTATATATATATATATATATATATATATATATATATATATATATATATATATATATATATATATATATATATATATATATATATTGAGTATTAAAAACCGGTTCAAGAAGGGATATATAAATGATAGAAATTAGGAGGTTTTGAGAGAATTGTAACCGGACAGTTACGTTATCAGGCAAACGTCATACCAACTGTACCAAGGGGCTTCGGCAGTGGATGCGCACTGCTAACATGGCTGCCCGGTGCTTTCTGCAGTCTGTTGAGGTTTCTTCTAGATTCGATGAATTACTTAATTATAATTATTTCAAATCCTTCTAATTTCTATCACTTGTATATCATTGCTTGAACCGGCTTTTAATGCTCTGGATGGAACAGCTTGGCAATAGTAGTCGCGGCTCGTGGGGGCATAGTCCTATGGGTAAAAGAGAAACTCGGTTGAGTTCCACCAAGGAATATGTGATCGTGCGACGCTATATCGAGTCTAATTCGTTAACTTCTTCGTCAACGAGGCACGTTGGGACAGTAGGTATGACGCTTGCCTGATGACGTAGCTTTCCTGGTTTCAATTCTCGGCAGTGGGTCCGCACTGCTGATGAGTCCCAAATATGTAACAAAACGACCGCCCAGTGCTTTCTGCATTCTGTTGAGTTTTTTCTACACTCGATGAATTACTTAATTCTAATTATGTCAAATCCTCCTAATTCCTATCACACACACACACGTGTGTGTGTGTATATATATATATATAAGTGTGTATTTGACCACCAATCTCTTTCTAATTAGAGATGGCTGACAATGTATTGCGATTAATCTTTTTCGATTTTTTCTTGCATTCCTGCATGAATTTCCTATCCTGAACATAAATTGTGTAAAAAACTACCTAAATGTTCTATATATCCGAGCGCTTTCTGCTATTCTATAAACCATTATAAATATTTTCATTTTAGTATTTTATAAAAAAAAAATCAACCTTATATAATTAATTTCGAAGTTAAGACTTCATTTAAGCAACTGGGGTACATTGTTCTCTTTCCGCTGTCAATATTTACGGGTTCCTCATCCCGTTGTTATTTACTAGATTTAACAAAAGACTCAGTTTAAAATTCACTATAGGTTTCCCCCGATCGAAATAAACCTGATGAAAATCTGGTGTATAACGAATGAAACGTCATGGTAATAATAACAAAGATGGTGACAATAGTTTGAGTGTTAGTAAGATAACCAACTCACCATACAAACAAATAGACTAGATATAATAATTGAAGCCATTTGAAAAAATATGTGCTGAACTATAGGCAGCGACATCTGGTCTGAGGAACACCAATTCTGAAAAAATAATTTGATATAATTTAAAAGTACTGCGTGTCTATAAATTGTCTGCACAATTTTTTAATCCTCAAGGACACATGGCACAGTGGATGAAGGCGTTGGTTAGATCCAGTGACAGGACCCAAAGAGTGTGATTTCAATACCCGATTAAGGCAGTGGAGAACTTTTAGAGGGAAAATTAACAGGAGATAACTGACATCCATCAAACATGGCACGTGAAACTAGAACAGTCTACCCCGGTGAGCGAAATAAAGGGTTCAGTTCGACATTCCAACCACCTGAAGAAGGCCGGAGCGTACAACGGCCAAAACGTTTTGATAAATATGGCGACAAAGATGAGGACAATAGTCCGAATAATGTAAATAATGTACAATTTTTTAAATTTATAAAAAAATGAAACAAAATGAAGATAATTCTACAGGGTTGATTGGAAAACAATGGTTAAAAAAGTTTTATTTGAACAGATCAGAATACATCCGCATCGGCCAGATTGGTTACAGCTAGCACATCTCGGTGCTGCCCAGTTTCTGTCTTCTGACAGACACTTCCGGTTTTCATAGACTTCCTGGCCCCCATGCAGTGGCTCAGACACAATGTGTACCGCCCAAATATTTCAAATCGTAGTTAAATAAAAAGTATTCTAATCTGAACACTCGCGAAAATCTTTAAATTTACAAATAGAAAAAAAATGCCGTAAGAATTGTTTTGCCGTTAACAATAAATTTAAAAAAATTCCAGACGACATGCATTCAACGGATGTCAGTTCTCATTGAAAAATACATCCCTACCCCTTACCAAAATGTAGCTAATAACCGATACAATGATGCAGTCATAAGGAAAACCCAGACACCCCTTGTCCAATTGAAGTAGATTTATCTGTAACCATGGAAACGTGATTTTAGCTGTGTCTTTAAAACCCAGTAATTTTAAAAGTTACTCCAAAATTCGCTTGAGGATGAAATGGAACTAATGTCTTTAATTTAATTGCAAAATTAAATTCATGGATTTAGCTTCCATTTTTGAAACATGGTTAGAAATGTGTAGCGGAAAAACCATATTTTAAAACAATTAATTTATAATATATATATATATATATATATATATATATATATATATATATATATCCCAAATACACACACACACACACACACACACACACACACACACATATATATATATATATATATATATATGGATATATTATAACTATTCTAATCTTAATCCTCTGAAGTTCAAGTATCAATTACTTAGTGTCAGTACAAAACTGTGAGAAAAAGAACATATATGAGAGGAAGTATGACAGAATCTGAATAAATAGAAGAAGATGATGAAGAAGAAGAAGACGTAGAAGAAAAAGAAGACGTAGAAGAAGAAGAAGACGAAGAAGAAGAAAAAGAAGACGTAGAAGAAAAAGAAAACGAAGAAGAAGAAAAAGAAGAAGAAGAAGAACAACAACAACAGCAACAACAGCAACAACAATATATGTGAAAGGAACGAGCAGATAAATAGAAGTTAAATAAAGAAGAAGAAGAAGAAGAAGAAGAAGAAGAAGAAGAAGAAGAAGAAGGATAACAACGTAGGTGAGGGGGAAGGAGCAGATAAATTGAAGTTGAATAAAGAAGAAAAAGATTTAGGAGCAGGAGATTAAGAAGAAGAAAAAGAAGAACAACAACAACAATAGCAACAACTATCTATAAGAGGAAAGAGCAGATAAATAGAAGTTGAATAAAGAAGAAGATGAAGGAGGAGAAGATGAAGAACAACAACAGCAACAAGAACAACAGAATCAACAACAACAACGCATGTGAAAGGAAGGAGAAGAGAAATAAAGGAGAAGATAATGAAGAAGAAGAAGGAGGAGGAGGTGGAGAGGAGGAGGAGGAGGAGGTTAGGGAGCAGCAGGAAGAAAATAAAAACGTGCTAGTTTTTAGAATGGATAAATAAAAGTTGAACTACTAATACGACTACAACTACTACTGCTACTACTACTACTAATAATAATAATAATAATAACAATAATAAAGATAATTAGGGTATTTTATACTTGTTTGTATATTTAAGTTGGTGTCAATGTCGATGCTATTTCGTAATTACTATAATTTTGATATTAATAACAACACTATGACACCTAATAGAATATTAATCCCTTTACAACAACAACATTAACAATAATAATATAAATAACGATCCCTGACAGAAACTGTTATTAAATAAGAAGAAAAAATCGAGTGCAATGACAAGACCCACAGCTGTAATAATGTTAACATCACTACTACTACTACTAATAATAATAATAATATTACCATGAAAATTAATGATAATAATAATAACAATAATAATAATAATTTGAATGTAAATGATAACAGTAGCAAGGAAAGATCAAGTTATGATCGTGAACACGGTCTTGAAGACGACAGTTCCAACAACGTCACCTACAACTGCGACATTACCAGCAATAGCATCAACAACAACAACAACGATAATAATAATAATAATAATAATAATAATAATAATAAATGATAGTAGCGATAATAAGAATGGCAAATATGAGGGGCACGTGTCAAGTTAATTTTCCAAAATTATTCTCGTGGAGAAAAAAAATTGCCTTACTTTGAAATTTTAATTTCCTACATCAAAAATTATGCGTCATATTATCTGAATAGATTACATAATTAGAGGATTGATTAGTGTGTCTTTTTATTTTCTTTTTACAAGAATCCACTTTTTTAAAATTCTTTAGGTGATGTGTTCATTTGAAAATTATGACGACACTAGTAAATTATTCACCAAACCATTCTCTCTCTATCCCTCTCTACGTCACTCTCTCATACATACATTATATATATATATATATATATATATATATATATATATATATATATATATATATATATATATCACAGTCAGTGTATCAAACAGTGAGGAACAAATTTATATTCATTAGCATATATATATATATATATATATATATATATATATATATATATACTATCGTTAAAAAGACTGACGCCACTGGGTGTTAACCTCACTGTCCACTAATATTTACACATCCTCTTGCTCTGATACTGAGAACTTGAGAACCCATATATCATACCTAAAAACTATATTTTGTGATATGTATATGTATAGAATGCGATGGCTAAATTGTCGCCATATTATTTGGAATTTCACGCATGCGCATTGTTTGTTTTAGATTTTGTCAAATGCACTTTATAGTAACGTATTTGAGCACCGTCCGCGTGAACAAAAGCAACATGACACTATACATTCCGCATATATTTGGAAACCTCATGCTGTACTGCTTGGCATTCGCACCGGAAGCTCCAATACGATCATTTCAGAGTGTTTGGGTGTTAATCTGAGGACACTATAAAGGATTCGGGAAAAGGTGGATGACTCTAACCGTGATAACGAAGGTATGGCACCTCGGAAAACCCACTCAGATCGTTTTGATAGAAATTCCCGAATTTCTTGGTGCGGGCTCAGATTCAACACGGAGGCATATATAAAATGCTTTGTGCTGCTAAGGGTCAGGTAGGTGGCTAAGTGAAAACCCTATATCTTACAATAGAACACTGCACCATGCCACACAAGCAGGAGAACGCAGTCATGGATATCAGACAATTTTTGCGACCATATGAACCTTTACAACGGGCCATCAATTCTTCAGACTCCAACACCTTTGATTATTATTTTGTGGCGAGAAGTTGAGCAACAAAACTCCTTGTAACACTAAAAATGAACTGAACGCAAGGATTATGGCAGCATTAGCCGACTTAAACAAGAAGATCGTCCAGAAAAGTTGCAGGAGATTTCGAAGTCGTATGGTGGCCATGATTGAAGCAAATAGTGATTTTATTGAATAAATTTATTCCCTTGAATTTCAAGATATTTTTGTGTAATTTTCGTAAATAAATATAAATGCTATGTTCGTGCTATTTTCACAGACACACAGACACACAGGCACACACAGAGACATATACATATATATATATATATATATATATATGTATAATTTAAATAAAAAACAGACCACTTTAAGGTTCCATGTAATAAATTATTTCACCATAGTCCTTTTAAAGGACTGCGGATCATCAGACTTTACACCCCCCCAAATTGTTATATATATATATATATATATATATATATATATATATATATATATATATATATATATATACAGAATTACGGGCATAAATTCGTTGATCGATTGATTCATTTTGAATGGTTAACTCTTTACAGATAATTTAACGGCCGATTTTTTTTAGATTGTAATGAAATGTTTTTTAGATAATAATGGTCTATTTAATCCATAGCTGTGGGGAGAAGAGGTAGATTCATACCTAAACAGAATTTAATAAACAAATAGAAATTACAATGTGGATAAAAAGTAGGGGCTCAATCTTATATTACAATCAATATATAATCTGATCCCTCACTTCGTGTCACGGTCATGTCTATGCACTTGTGTTTTAGAGAATGTTAATAAGTCCAAAATACAGACTTTTATAGATAATCGTTATTTCATTGTTTGATTCATTCGTTTTTTACGGTTTGTCAACCCTTTGTAGGTTATTTAAGGCCAGGACATATTTTTAGAGTTTAAGCCTTTTTTTCCTTTTTGCAGATTATAATGGTTTATTGAGACAAGTCTTTTGTGAGCCGTATGGGTTGCCGTTAATGATAATGTACAATTCAAGATTTCTATGTTAAATAAAAAGGATTTAATTATAAACTGCAAATAAATACGTAACACAAACAAAAGATGTAAGAGCCAATCAAACTTATTAACAAATTCAGTGGATACCTTCTTGGTAGCTCGGTTTAATGTTCGATAGCCACTTAATAATCAACTAACAATCAGCCAGTAATCCACTCGCAAGCAACTTATAATCAATACTTGCACTCAACTTATCATCGACTGCAGCTCGCCGACAGTAACCTGACACCGCTATTTACACATCTTTTGGGCGCCCCAAGGCGGTGTAATGGTTAGCAAGATTGTCTCGCTAGAACAATTACGACTGAATAGTGAGTTCGATCCTCACTGGGTACCCCATAATTTCGGCCTTGTGCCACATCTATGCTACACTTAGAAAATCACTATTTACAAGTCTAGTGGGTCAGGCTCGAACTTCAGTGTCGGATGTTCTTTTTTTCTTCTTATATGACAAATTCTTACTAATTAACCCATAGCTTGGAGGAGAACAGGTTGATTCATACATTTTGCGTGTAAGTGAACATAACGAAGCCAACGGGAATTGGAACTCGGCTATCAATTAAAATTCCCAACCATTATCCTATTATCCGCCCGCATATCTGTCACCCATCTAGCTACTGTCCAGACTCGACGTTTATTTTAACTTCGGTGTACAAAGTGATGTGGCCTAAAGCTGAGAGAGACAGAAATATATATATATATATATATATATATATATATATATATATATATATATATATATATATATATATATATATTAAAAAAAGAAGGGGTGCCGCAAACGTTTTTGGTTGTAATGTGGATTTATTGAGAAAAAATATTATACTTTGTTTTACATAATTTCACGACACGTGTTTCTGGTCTGGTCTCGCAACCGTCTTCAGGTGAAAGTGGAGATTTTTACATATTATTAAAAATAATTAATTTTTTCTTCATGTTCAATGTGGAATATTCTCGATATGAGACATTCTGTTTGTGTGTTGGCAATCCGAATTTTCTTTCTAGAATTGTCAATGAAGAGTTCTGCGTGAAGGGTCATAAAACAATTAAGGTTTGTCCAGCGAGTAGTTATCGGCATTTAATCTTTTAATGTTTTAATGTTTTAGTGACCTCTATGTGCTCTTGGATCTGTTTCTATTTTGGCGTGTTCCTGTCAGCATGCGTGTATATATGCGTGCGTATATTTTTCCTACGAGGAATTCGTAAACTTATTTGTACTTATACATACACACACATACACATACACACTATCCCACCACAAGTAGTCAGTACACACACACATATACACACATATTTCCCAAGCTACATGGAACCAGTACACACACACACACACACATACACACACACACACACACACACACACACACACACACACGTACTTCTTAAGTTGTCAACATCCGCATATACATACATAAATGTATGTATGTGTACATACATATATATATCTCTCCTCGTGTCTCCCTGTATATGAGTGTGCGTCCATGTATGTGAGCGATCATTGTATTTGGTCACCCTGTGTGCATGTTTTTTTTTTTTTTTTGTGGGGGCAGGATTTGATCTATTCAGTTCGGGTTTGAATTTGTCTATAAAAGTTTTTTCCTGTATTTGTAGATACGAGTAATTGTCTGTTTGATATATCGGCATGTAAACTTACCTAGTTACATTTAAAGTTTTTACCTGTTGTCGTCACAGATATTACATTTGACCCAACAATACGTTCATTTCAAGAGCCATCACCCAAAAAGCTGCGTAAATCCATGTTGTGATAAACACAAAAATCCGCTTGAAGAACTACATAAAACTCTTTTCTGTTGTAAAAGAAACGTCGAACAAATTTTATATTCCCAGAAATCTTTGTGTAGGGAGAAACCTAAAACACATTCATCTAAATTTAAGGGAGTCACAAAACAAAAATCATTACTGCAACTCCAAAAAAAACTGCAACTCCAAAAAAGTTTATGCACTTA